TCCATCCTGGATCCAATGGATTCCACTTATTCTAAGCACTACCAGGTTGTATCTTTTCATATCTGCAGTAACTTGGATGACTTTCGCTGCTTCCCATACTGTATCTGTGTTTATGTTTCCTCTGCTTGTCAGATATGTAATCGGCTCCGTGACTTCCTAAGGAACACAGATTTCATCATGATACACAATTACTCTTCAAAATGTAAAGCTTCACACCCTCAGGACAAAGTTAAATGGTTTGAATTATTTTCTCTGCAAGTTAGTGTTCTGCGAGATGCGGTATATGACCCCATGGCCGACCTTCCTCTTTTATTGAGGCAGCGGACTATAGGCGCTCTAAGTGGAGTTTATATGATGCTAATAACAAATATTAGCAGTAACACAGACCAACGTAGTTGCATAATGCTCATATTACGAGTTCTAAATCGTAAAATTTTCAGCATGCTTCAAATACAGATACAGCATCATCACTAAGAAAAGACATGATGATGAGTGATCTAATACGTGCTAATATGAGTCCTCTGGCATTTCGGAAAGTTTGTTAAGGTGATAATTATCCACTTAGTGATAAGTGATGAGAGGTTCGGCAGATGAATTTCTGGGCCCTTCCCATAGACAAATAAGTTTCTTTGACTGTAATCAAATAACATCAGTTCACTTACATTTTATATTATTTGTTTCAGTAAGCGATAACAGAATAAGGAATTATTAGTTTTTTCATAGTAAAAGTCTTGAAACATAATCGCAGAATTTCTAGTAAGTAAAATGCTTGCTCACTCAGTAGAAGGTTTTCGATAAAAAGTGTGTCAATGACCACTGTAACTGTTCTTTTGCTTACCATACTATAATTATGTTGTCAGGTTCCGAAGTACGTATGCATTCAACATCGACTGTTGAATGTTCCACCCCATTTGGTTGTGGTTGTCGTCTTGAAGCGTTCTTTAAATAGGCATACCAACAGAAATGGAGCATGAGTAATTTTGATCATTCAGTAGAGTAGTGAACAATAATGGGTAATCGAAACTAGTGAATTAAAGAAAGTTTAAACATTGGTTTGGTACCACGTAAGTTATAGAAGAAGTCACAACTAAAAATCTAAAATCGTACACTTGGAGAAATGAATTACACCTTTATGACAAATATTAGACTGCTGCTCATATGGACTGAAAATTCCTAGGACCTGAATTATTTCGAGATCAATTATACATTTTCCTGGTATGGATATGGGAACCACGTCACATTGATGAAAGCCAAGAATAACAGATGTTCTCCGTTGCGATTCAAAGTAGCATGTTGGGTAGAAGTATTGATCTTACGAGACATACTACATAAAGCAACAAAATAACAAATCCGATACCCATCATCTGTTACGGTATCAAAGATAAACATATAAAGATGTTGATCATTGTTTATAATCTCGTGCCCAATGATATATTCCTGTATGACCACGATGAAATTAAAGATAATGAATGAATGAAAGCTGATTCGACCGTCAATGTTAAGCTGCTATTCGTATCGATAGAATAGTCGACAGTAAGCTCACTTGTATGGAAAAACGTGTCTCATTTTTCACTATACAAAATATTACTGCTCTGGCATGGAATTTAAGGTGGGATCTACAGTAAAGAACCAAAAAAACTTTGAAATATGAAACAAGGTCATTGGATAAGTACTTTGACACAAATAAACTCTACAATACTCCACATTTTAAACTCAAATCAAACTACCCGATCCGTTCAGAGTCAGAAAAAACCTGATGTACGACCACTCTATGAGAGCCTCAGGCACCCTTTCTAGAGGACTTTTTGAGCATCAATAAATGTAGAAATGCAGTGACGCAGGGTGCTTATCACACGATCGTTAAAGCTGAACGCGCAGTAACTATGTTAACTTCATAAATTAAATAGACTATTCTATCTCTAACCCTAATATTTTTTCAGAAGTCATAAAAAGCACACTGTCAACTATCAACACGAAACAATTCAGATTGAGGTTAATGGAAGATCTTGTGAATAAATTTACCGCAATACAACAAGCCTATAGTCGTGGAATTGGTCCATAAATCTAACAGCATCGGTTTGTGCACTTCTACTGGTCGAGACCTAAATCACACAGGTATCAAGTTCTCTCTGTATATCCCCTGCCAATACCGTTTTCTACATTCTCACCTCAAACAGCTAACAACCAAGTTAGAATTTTCAATGCAGACATCAAGATAGTTCTACTATATGGAGAGGAAACTTGGAGGACTACAAAAGCCGTCACCCTAGAGACATAGGTGTCTGTGAACGATTGTCTATTTAAGATACTGCCAATTCCTAGGCAGACAACTTCAGCGACAACCTGCTGTAGCAGAGAGCAAACCAACTGCCACATGAGAATGAAGTTAGTAAAATACACTGAACGTGAATAGGAAATCACCAGACTATATCACAAGGCAACCCCTAAATTGGAACGCTCAAGATAAAAAATCACGCATGACACTCGGAATCAAAGGTGGACGACGGAAGAATGAATAGCACTTCAGAACAACTGGAAAAAGAACCCACAGCGCAGAAGTGTGAAGATTGCCAATCGGCATACCCTGCTCCACGAGCAATAAAAAGCGTACGTCCCACCATGACCCGAAACTTCAGATACATAAACACTTTGCATTACTGTTGAGCCTCTGTGCTAATGTGGTATGGCAACTTAAACTGATATACATACGTACGGCGTTCTACGTTATAACTGACTGACTGACTGACTTTACCTCAAGACCTCCATGATGTCTTACCATTAGCTTTGCAATAGGCAACAACTACTGGAAAGAACAGCAAGTCATCATAACGAAAGGAGTACTCTGAAAACCCCTGATTTTTCAGTGAGCGGTGTTGTTATATCTTTGCTCTTTGAACCTGATTTGCATTTAACTATTACTCAGGATTCTAGTTACCTAGTCTTTTGTATTCGAACTGGTAAGTGCTTCATTTCATTTTTTTCATTTCACTTGTTGTCGGAGCATTGACAATTAGGTTGAGTTCGACCCAAGGTGATTATTGACCTTTAACTGCATACTAGGAACAAATGCTCATACTTTTGTAGGTAGACATTCCGTCCCGTCTGATTTATTCTCAGTGCGCCATTTGATGTTAGAGAAACCTTTGACTATGTAGCATAAAACGTACCTTTTGAGAGACGATTAAACTGAACACAAAATTTACGTTCTGAGATAATTAAACACCAGTTACCCAGAAACGCTTTGTGCCTTCTACAGAAAAACAAAGTTCGGAATATTCTAAAGAACTGTGGTTCGTTAACAATGAGTACAGACTAAATAATGGAAATTCGGTCATTACCATAACCTTTGCATGGGCTGAAAATGGTATCGCAGATGATAGGCTGAGTCAAGTTTTCCTCTTAGAAACCGGGCAAAACTCTTAGTCATGTTTAACATTATTACGAGTCTTATGATTACCTAAAACCCCAGAAGAAATGTTAGCATTATCCGGGCCGGCCCTACTTTAATGCTTCAAAATCAAAATGAACCTAGTCAGACTCATGAGATCAGCATCAGTGTCGAAAGCTCACAGAATTTGGGGATTTGTTTACTTGATTAAGTGTTATCTCGTCACCAATTCGGAGTTAATCCATGAAGGGGGACCTGAAGGGCTGTAGGTTTGTAAATTTGAGGCCAAAAATGCATGGCATTTGAATCTATTCTGTGAAAGTATAATGCTTCCTATCTCGCTTTTACTTGAACTAACTTTACTGTTCATTCTAATGAAATTCGAAGTGGATCATCGACAACCGATTGAAACCCCGATTTAGAGTTGAATATACTAATAAGGCATTATTTGTAACAAAAACAACTGGGCAAAATTTTCAGAAACAATCAAATTTAGGAGTAATCCAGTCTGATGGCTTTCACTAAATGAAGTATAATAGCAAGAAAATCACCAAACTAAACATTTTTGTAAGTCTTCGACATTAGCTTTGACCTCATTAGATTTACAGAATAGAATCTTGTTCATTCAAGCACCCTCACCAGATCATCGTTCCTCAAACCGCGCTATGCTTCTCCTGCATCAACCAGTCAGCCCTGGTCAATCATTTCTCATCGTGCTAACAATTCTATAAAAATACCTTCACTCTTCTTTATACCTAACTTCTCGTTTGACTGGATTTGGTACTCTCGATTTGAATAGTGCTAGGGACAGAAACGCTGAAAAAAACCCTGTGTGTCCTTAACAGTTTCATTTGAAAAACTAAAAGAATGATTAACGGTCTACTCGAGAACACAATTCAGAAGTGGGAAGTAAATCTAAGAAAAGTGAAAACACATTCCGTGGAGAACAGACGAATGTTTTATGTATGACCCACTGTCCCATACCTAATTGTCTGTATTCCATACTTCGGGAAGAAATATTGACAACAGACTTACGAAAAACGAGAAATACAAGGGAATTAGCTAAAAAATCACATACTAACTTGTACATAATAAGCTCTTGTAACTTGTTCACTTTACTTTCAGATAGAATAATAATAAAGGATACCCCTAATCCTTGATAAGAGCATTTAATCACACTTTTTAGACTTTTCTAAGAAAAATTCGTTAATTGTTTGTCCACTGAGAACTCCATCTAGTCTGAACGAAATATTAGTCTATCACCAGTGTAAAAATGAGTATACTCTATGCACTTTTTGAAAGTACTTTCTATCAAAGATTATTTTCGCTCTTTCAGAATTCTAAAGTATTGGAGATATTGGAGATATTAGTGCTGCAACAAAAATGAAGACTTTTCTGAAATAGTGAACGGTCGCACTTTCAGATCACCTTGTCGAAGTAAAGCCCGCTACGTCCGAAATTTTTAAGCGATGGGAATTTTTGACATAGTTAAAGATGAAGTATGAATTTTACTTATATTTCATCAAATAATAAAGGTCACTGTACAAAACACAAAGCCAAGTTCACTCATAGTTGTACCTGACCCAGGTTTGATAAACCTTACTCAGTGTTAATGTATTCAGGGTTTTGTGTCAAGTTAAAGTCTAAAAATCAAGAAAAAGTGTTTGTGAACATATGTACTTCTGAAAAAGTAAACAAACATCGTATGTAAACGCTTCATAGGTTCCAGTTCCCAAGGATTTATCTGAAGAAGAATTAAGAGCAATCCTTAATGATATTGATAACTCCCCACCTTTCAAAGTCCCCATGTGCATAGGAGAGCCACATGCTGAAGTCGATTCAGGTACTGTTTTTATAACATAGTTCTTCCGAAACCTTTTTGGTTGCTATTACTGGAATATAGTAACTATATCCTAATACGTAGTTTCAAAAATTTATGCGCTCATGTTTGTGGAACAGTCGTTTCGTACGTATACATACATTGTTACGAAAACTTATTGACATTATATGATGCTAAGAATCGCAGGCTCCTTTCTCAACAATGTCAATGTTTCAAACCTAAGGATCGTCTTGGTTCACCTTGTGTGCTACTTCATGTAGGGACAAAATACCTATGTGATATGTAATATTTGCCAGTTTACAGCGCTCTTCAAATTACAAGTTGGTCCAGTATATCCATCCTTAGAGAATGTTGGTGAGTAATGCACTATCAGGGAGTATTTAGTGATTCACAATCATTTGGATGACCAGCGCTACCATATGAACAGATCCTTTAGTTCAAATCCAGTGGTAGACACGTGCAATTCCAATTGCTTTGTAACTTTAGCTCAGTCCAAAAATTTTTAAGGTTTCGCAAAACATGGTTTCAATATGGTCACTTGGGTTTCGACCTGCCCTATACTTAGGATTGGAATTGTATAGAAATTACTAAATTTCGTATTGCTCGTCCCCTTTGCGGTACTGCTTCAAAGTGCCAAGTTCTACATTGGTGATGACTTACATACATGTCATCTATCGCATAGTTCGATTCGTCTTTTAAGCCTATCGTATAAGAACGTTTAAGTACACAAGACTCAACCGACAACACTACTAATGACTCCTTGAATTTTCCCTCAGTCAGTTGAATTTTCCCTACCCATTTAGATACGCATTCCAAAATGTTAGGTATAGTGACTCAAAATAACATACTAAAACAGCAAATAAATTCACCCAATTAGGTAAAAAAAGGGAAGGCCTGTGTAACAGTTGGAGTGCTCTTCAGACCTGTAAACTGCTGACTAAACTTAAGTGTTCAATTTATTGTTTCGACAGAGCTAGTTTTCAATATCATCTATGATTGTCAATGCATTCAGCGGAATGATTTATGTAGACGTATAACATTGAAACCACTTCAACGCAGTCGAAAGACCAGTGGGGTTTAAATATACGGTCAAAACCAGTATCATATTCTCGAAATGATAATAGGCATTTTCAGCTGCTCTCGGGTCTCAATATAATAACCCATTTTAAGCAGAAAACACCATGTAGGTGGATATTTTGTTCGAAAATCAGTACTAAACGCGAAAGTAATTTTTTATTGACATTGCAACTCTTGCATTGTTCTGACCCAAGAGTATCACAAAGATATGCTTTTTTCGCTCAAATATCTTACGTGAAGTTTTAGCATTACATGCGATTGCTCGTGAAAGCGCTAACGATCCAGATTTTCATAACTGGCTATATCATTTATTGAATGTATTAACTGTAGCGAGTTAATAATTGCTCATAATAGACAAAACCTAACCTGTCGTATGCTCTGATGGTGTTCTCGTGACTTTCGGGTTGCCTGATCTTCCAAGGGCAATGAGACAGTGCATGACGTTATTGTTGTGTGCTAGGTTCAAAGGGAGTTGTATGCTATATGCATACACTCCGTCCCGTTATTGTTCTACTGACCGCAGCTTCTACCTTGACGTGGTGGTCGGGCTCTGCAATCACGCTCTCAAGTCGATCATACCAACACTAGTCCGATTTCCTTTTTAGGTTCATCAAGAAGTATTCTACTAGTATATGGGCAGCTGGGAAGTGACAACCGTCCTCATATCCGTAACAACACACGAGTCTAAACTAGTCACATTTAAATTCTTCCTACACCCTTAATAACTCTCTTATCTCCACAACCAACCCTGTTTTCATTCCTTTGTCGCATCGCGCCGCTGATGCAAACGTTTCGAGTTCACATAACGTTATTCCTGGTCTCCTGAAGCCCCATTCCAAACTACATGTTGGAGCTTTTAATGTTCCAACCTTGTGTCAAATAATACAACATGCTTTATTAGCTACGACTTTGGAAGCCTGTGCAATCGATGTGTGTTGCGTCTCCGAAAACCGCACACAAGATCCGAGTATAATCATCAGTTTGATTTCGCCGTGCACAGGTAGGGAATCGACTGGGTTTACGCCTCGTTTATCTGGAAGCCCTGCTGTCGCTTCCTGTGGCCTCGCAAGTGTAAGCATAGCATTGAGTCCTAGGGTATAACTAGCTCTCTTAGACTGGATCCCGATAGATAGTCGCTTATGCGCTGTCCGACCAAACTGGACAGTTAGGACTCGTAAATGTAAGGAAGCACCGTTGCCTTTTCATCGTATCTGCCTAAGATCCCACTGACTGCAGGTCGGACGAGATAAAAGATGAGTCTTACAGAAACCTTTCTAATAGTGGCTGGTGACATCAATACTGAAATTGGCAGACCAAATGAAAAAGAAAGACACTTGGGTGGATCTTATGGTTTCGTGGCTCAAAAATCAGATAATGGCGACCGTCTGCTGCAGCTGTGCTTAGATAATTGCCTGTTCCTAGCAAGCACTAACTTTAAGCATAAGGATAAACATATATTAACCTGACAACCCCCACAACCGATTCGGCGGTAGACCCAACTAGACCACATTGCTATCAGCCACTGATTCAGGGGCTCAACAGAAGACTGACTCATTCAGGAGCACACGTTTAGATTCAGATCATGCCTTAGTACGAGCGCGTATTAGTTTGCGGCTTATTTGACGTAGTACAGACGCTGCAAGCGAACCTCTTAGGGTTTTACTTAACGATAAAATATCTAAGAATATATTTCAGGGAGAATTAGAAAAATAGTTAGGCAGCTCTGTAAGTGATTCCCACCTCGAGGCAGCTTGGAATGATGTCCAAAGAGCTGTGGAAACAGCAGTGATATTTGTTACTTAGTTAAACCATAAAGTTAGGGATAAGCCATGGATTTCAGTAGCGTCTACCGAACTGATAGATGCTCGGGAACTCATCCCATCTTGCTCTGGATATGATGAAGAGCGAAGTAAGCTTGAGCGCAGACAGAAAAGAAACCTACAGAATGATCACAAACAGTAGCGGGTATCAAAAGCAAGATGGATGGAAAAGTCAGCGGTGATAGGTAACAGTAGACAACTGTTCAGAAGTATCAAGGAAACCGGTATTAGGAATCCAACTATTAGCGAGACTATCTAGGTAAATCGTGGTCTTACTATTCATTCTCAATCCAGGAGATTGAATCAATTGGCAGCACACTTTAGGGGTCACTTCAATTAGCCTTAAGCCATACATCGGCTGCCTATTGTCTCCAGTTTAAGTTGAGAATGTCATAAGAAACCCAAGACGAGGGAAAGCATCGAGTGCTAATAGCATAATCCCTGAGATTCTTAAGGATGGTGGCCCCGTCTTAGAAGTTAGATTGCCTGAGATCTTAGGTAGAATCCGGGAACTGGGCGTAATCCCATCTGACTGGTCCCAATCCCTGATTGTGCCATCTTCCTTTTCAGGTCCCTCAAGAAACAACCTTCCACGGTGTGGGCAGCCGGGAAGTGACAACCGCCCTCATACCCATAACAGCACGCGAGACCAAATTGGTCAAAATCAAATCCTTCCTACACCCCCTAATGTCTCTTTTATCTCTACAACTAACTCTACTCACACTCCCTTTTCTCACTGCACCGCTAATGCAGACGATACGAGTTCGCGAAACGTCGTTCCTGGTCTCCTTAAACCCCGCTCTAGACTACATATTGGAGCTTTTAATGTACGGACATTGTGTCAAATAGGGCAACAGGCATCATTAGCTAGGACTTTAGAAACTCGTGCCATCGATGTATGCTGCGTCTCGGAAACGCGCATACAGGATCCTAGTAAAGTCATTAACCTGATTCCACCTTGTCAAAACGAAGAAGCAGCTCGATTTACTCTTCGGGTATCCGGTAGCCCTGATGCTGCTTCCAGGGGTCTTGCTGGTGTAGGCATAGCGTTGAGTCCTAGGGCAGAATTATCTCTCCTAGACTGGATCCCAGTAGATAGTCGTTTGTGCGCTGTCCGACTAAACGGGACAGTAAGGACTCGTAAGGATAGGGACACTCGCCGTTGCCTCTTCGTCATATCTGCCTATGCCCCCACTGACTGCAGTGCAGACGAGGTTAAAGATGAGTTTTACAGAAAGCTTTCGGACCTCCTCCAAAAAGCTAAGCGCTCTGACATAGTAATAATGGCTGGTGACTTTAATGCTCAAGTAGGTAGACTAGGTGAAAAGGAAAGACATCTTGGTGGATGTTATGGTGTAGCGACTGAGAGAACAGACAATGGTGACCGTCTGTTGCAACTGTGCTCAGATAACCGCCTATTCTTAGCGAACACCAACTTTAGGCATAAGGAAAAGCATCTGTTGACCTGGCGACCTCCAAAGTCGTCTCAACGTTGGACTCAACTAGATCACATCGCCGTCAGCCACCGATGGAGGGGTTCGATAGAAGACTGCCGCTCGTTCTGGAGCACATGTTTGGATTCAGATCATGCTCTAGTGCGAGCTCGTATCTGTTTAAGGCTTACTGGACGTAGGAAAGACACCGTAAGAAAGCCTCTTAGGGTTTTACTTAATGATAATCAAACCAAGAAAATATTTCAGGAGCAACTAGAAAGAGAGTTAAGCAACCATGCAAGCGATTCCCATCCAGAAGCAGGTTGGTATGATATCAAAAAGGCTGTGGAAACAGCAGTGATATCTGCGAGGAAGGTAAACCATGAGGCTAGGTTGAAGCCGTGGATTTCAGTCGCATCCACCGAACTGATGGATGCTCGAAAACGCATCCCACCTGACTCTGAGCATGATGAAGAGCGTAGTCAGCTTAGGCACAGACTTATAAAAAGTCTGCGTAACGACCGCGAACAGTGGTGGGTGGCGAAAGCAAATGCGATGGAAAAGGCAGCGGCGATGGGCAACACTAGACAACTTTTCCGCCTTATCAAAGAAACCGGTATTAAGAACCCGAATGTGAGTGAGACTATCTCGGAAAAGGATGGTCTTATTATCCATTCTCAATCCAGGAGGCTGGATCGATGGGCAGAACACTTTAGGGATCAGTTCAACTGGCCACGAGCCACTCTTCAGTTACCCACGATCTCCAGTCATCCTGAATGGCAAATCGACGTAAGTCCCCCTAGTCTTTATGACGTTGAGAAAGCGTTAGGAAATCTGAAACGAGGACGAGCTGCAGGTCCTGATAGACTGACCCCTGAGATATTCAGGGATGGTGGTCCAGTTTTAGCAGCTAGATTGACTGAGATCTTAGGTAAAATCTGGGAACTGGACGTAATCCCATCCGACTGGTCTCAATCCTTGATTGTCCCAATCTATAAGAAAGGACAAAAGTCTTCTTGTGACAATCACAGAGGAATAAGTCTAACTAATATAGTATCTAAAATATTAGCCTCAATAATACTTGGACGCTTAACGAAAGCTCGTGAAGAGCAGACTCGAGAAAACCAGGCTGGTTTTCGACCTGGACGTGGCTGTATAGACCACGTCTTCACACTCAGACAGGTCCTGGAACATAGACACACATTTAGGCGTCCTACAATAGTTGTTTTCCTAGACCTTAAGGCGGCATTTGACTCAGTGGATCGTGAGGTTCTGTGGCAGTGTCTGTCATTGAAAGGTGTACCACAGAAGTACATTAACCTTATACAAGCTCTTTACTCGAACACCACTGGTCGAGTGAGGGCTTATGGCGAACTGTCACCGGAATTCTCTACATCAAGTGGTGTCCGTCAGGGATGTCCACTTTCTCCATTCTTGTTTAATTTTATCATAGACATGCTCCTAGACATAACATTATCCTCGTCTGAATTTTCAGGAGTAGACCTTCTTCCAGGTGGCTCGCTTATTGACTTAGAATATGCCGATGACATAGTCCTACTTGGTGAAGACGCTGACAAAATGCAGAGTCTTCTGACTACCCTAAGCAACAATGCAAGCATGTTCGGGATGCGGTTTTCCCCCTCGAAATGCAAAATGTTGCTTCAAGATTGGGTTGCATTGGCACCTGAACTAGTGATAGGGAGTGAAGTGGTTGAACGTGTAGACCGCTTCACTTATCTTGGGAGTCTCATCAGTGCCGATGGCCTGGTGACTGACGAAATCTCAGCTCGGATACAGAAGGCTCGATTGGGTTTTGCCAACCTGCGTCACTTATGGCGTAGGCGAGATATCCGTTTGCTGACTAAAGGACGAGTGTACTGCGCAGTAGTTCGCTCCGTCTTACTTTATGGCTGTAAAACATGGCCAGTGAGAGTAGAAGATATTCGTAGGTTACTGGTTTTCGATCATAGGTGTCTTCGAAGCATTGCTCGTATATCGTGGGACACCCGAGTGAGCAACGCTGTTATTAGGAATCGGGTGCTAGGTAAGAATGGCAGATCAATCGATGAAGTATTGAAACTTCACCAGTTGAGGTGGTTGGGACATGTCTTGCGTATGCCCAACCACCGACTGCCTCGAAGAGCTTTGTTTTGTAGTGTAGGAGTAGTTTGGAAGAAAGTTAGGGGCGGCCAAACCAAAACATGGCAGAAATCCATGAAGTCATTGACTAGTGGACTGAGCCATGTCGGTAATTGTCGACTACCTGGTTGGGGTCCGCGAGATGATAATAATCGATGGTTAGAGACCTTGAATGACATGGCTCAAAATCGTTCGCAATGGCGCCAGTGCATTTATTCTCTGTGTTCTCTCAAATGCTAATCTTCTGGATTCTTCAACACCTCTAGTTTCGACTCTCTAAACTTTTCTCACTGAATCATACTTCTTGAGTAGTATCTTCTAATCCTAACCTCTCCGATTATTTCTAATTCCCTTACTACCTCTTCTACTATTGGATTTGAATTGACGATTACTTCTCTGTGCTGATGTGGTATGGCAACATGAACTGATGTACTTATGTACAAAGTTCTACGTTGCATCTGACTGACCTGATTGTGCCAATTTATGATAGAGGACAAAAGTCTTCTTTTGACAGTCACAGCGGAATCAGTCTGCATTGTGTCTGAATTGTTAGCCGCGATAATACTTAGACTCTTAGTTACAGTTCGTGAAGAATAGACTCGAAAAAACGAGACGTATACGTGGCTGCCTAGACCACATATTCACACTTCGACATGTCCTAGAACATAGACACATTTCGGTGTCCGACAATCGTTGTCTTGTGGTGTGTAGATTTACTGCGTGTTCTTATGCTTCGTAATTAGCTCGTCCAGACAATCGTTACAAAGTAGCGTCTGACGGTTTGTAAATCAGAAGGTGAACTCGTAGTGATGAATACGTTTATTTGGGACACACCACAAAGCGAAGCGGAGAAGCAGTGAATAAAACGAATGAAGCGACGTGAATTGGAGAGGCGCGTTGGAGAAGGCTAATGAGGCAACTCCCAGAGGTAGAGCATGGCTAAGAATATATAGTCAGACAAAAATAAGACAGACATGTGATCAACGAGATAGGTATGCACACACATGAATAAAGGCGACGAATGGTTGACAAGGTCATATGATAAGTGGGACAAGTCACATGAGCTCATACAAACCAGACAATAATAAGAACGAATGGTACATATAAATTGTTGCAATACAAATGACTTGGTTTAATAAATTAATCGAAAGGGCTTAACCAAACTAAATGTAAGCAAACTAAAATATATGTGGAGGCACTACAGTCTTACTGGACCTTAAAGCGGCATTCACCTCTGTCGATCATGAGGTTCTGTGTTAGTGTCTGTCATTAAAAGGTGCACCAGAAAAGTACGTTAACTGTTAGTGATATGGGTCTCAATAACTACATTTCATCAGTGTTTGAACGTAATATGATATATATATATATATATATCACTTTACTATGTTGTATTATTTCACATTTTTAGTCGATCACCATCTAATTTTATTCCTAATTAATCGATCTAATTAAGAACTTATAAAGTAGCTGAAAGTATGCAAATGATATATTAAGTAGAAGTGCTGATAAGATTTTCAATATTGATGATGTCTTTAAACAAATCCTAAGAGACCTGTAAAACATTTGAAATCTATGAGATGTAAAATGATCTGTCAAATATATGTCACATCTAATGTAAATCTTAATATTAAGTGTGACGTACTTCAAGTGGTTTATTGTTTAAGGTAGTCTCAATAGCATTAACGAATTGATATCCAATCTGACCCTCATAGGTACATATAGAAGGCTTATACAAAGCTAGTTTCATTCAAATTCCTGAACGTCACATTAATGAGTACGAACAAAAACAAAATTCACACATCAGACTGTCTTTAGCTTGCTAACGAAAAATTAATACTGCGGTTAACACTATTGCGTATACTGATAAAAAATATTTTGAATCTTCTGTTACTCAATATTTCATTTCTTTGATTTTAAGCTCAAAAAGGTTGTACCGCTTATGATGTCATAATCAATCCACAGTTCTACCAGAAAGTCAAATCATCAGAATTGTTTGAGGCATTTTTGATGACAGTGATATTTGAGGGTTTGGAAAATAAGTACGGTATCGAACTTGAAAGAAGTAAGCATCCAACTGGTATTCATAATTCTACAAATTAATTTTCCAGGCTGGATTGTTTTAAAGAATAAGAAATGTATGGGTAAACCACAAGAACAGTGTATTCGAACTTCTAGTCGTCCTGCAATTATCGAAATGAATGATTCTCCGTAAGACTTTATAAATATATCTATATGTATCGCTATAATCTCTTTATTTGTAATTATTTTAGACCACCAAAACCAAAAGTTATAGAGTTACCTGATCCACCTTTTAGAGGTTATACTCCCAAGTATGAATTAGTAAAAGTTAAGGATGATGATAATGGGAAAGTACGTTACTTAATTGCGCATATAACCATGCCAAAACTGGTAGGTCTCTTTCTATAATACAACTATCCTAAAGTCTAATATTTTTATGTTCTTTAATGATTGACTTGTCACTTTAATATTTCAAATAATATTCATTTACATAAAATGTAACCACTCTACGATCACTTAATGATTTTTCAAAAATGTAGCTGAACTGTATTTTAAAGACTCAATGCATATAGTTAACTGATTTCAAATGCATTTCTTATTCTCTTGCGTATGTTCTACTGGGTAGTTTTTTATTTGAAGATTTCATGCAAAGATTGTGTTGTTCAATAATGATGCGAATTTTCTGTTGTCCAATACTACATTTGTGTACATACAGCAGTTTTTAAAAAATTATAATGATTCAGTGTAAACTTCTTCGAGTTAAAAATTGAGAAAAAATATAAATGACTATAAAAGTAAAGGGCAGAAGTTCTAGTGAATAGGTTTTTATGTGAGGAAAAAATGTCATAAATGTACTCTTTATTATGAATGCACTGATCTATAAAATGAACGTTTTAATCTTGGTGCATTGTCCACTGTAGGCCGAAATCAATCTTGCAAACAAAACTCAATCAGCCTACACTAAACAAATGTTATATCGAAGTTACCCAGGTTGTCAAATTCAAAAACATTAAAATTATTATTTTTAGGAGGGGAACGGTATAAAGTAGTATAATTCATTGAATCTTCTGGTTACAATACTAATGAAAATCAGTGTTCCAGATAATATATCTCTAACGGTTGTCAACCTGTACAACTCAAAGGCTATGCAAAATGTTTCTCAATAGACAAATTCCTCATTTTTCCACTATATATGTATAGTGGACAAAAAATCTATACATGTAATCACTTATATAAAATCTTTTGTACTGATCAATGAAATTATCAAGCTACTGCATAAGCACCACACTCATTTTCTTAAAAAAAAATCAAAATTATACTCTTCACTCAATTCAGTTACCTTGTTAGTAAACATGAGATCTGATGTCTTTCACGGCAACATTTATTGTATCTTGATTAACGGACTACTAAATATCACGAAAGTAGTTTCAATATGAAACCAAAAAATATACACTTGACAGGTTTATGTATAAATTTCACGTTTCCTGTTCTAAAATTTATATCGTGTCACATACAATTTCACACAATTTCATCTTTCTTTACTGTTCATTTTCTAACGGTTTGTTTTAGTTCAGTGTATAACACGCCGTTAATCCTAACTCTTTTCGTTATATCTTAGTAAACTGCTAACTTCCTTTGAGTATTGTTTTATCCGTTACACAGTTTATTTATGACAACACAATGTTTTTTAAAGTGAATTCTTTTACTGAAGACATAAAATACGGTGTTAAGAACAAATAATGATATGTTTGAATTGCGATGTTGCTTTTAAATTTTCTGAATCCAATTGAGAAAATGCTTTCAAGTGACAAATCTTAATATAGTTTCACTGACTTATAACAGTCCTTCATTGATTGTCTGTCTAAGATAGATGTGAAATTTTCGAACTGACGTTTTTGTCACTATTATTTGATATCATGATTAACTGACTTCAAATAAAATCCAAAATTCTCTAAGCCTAACAATGAGTTCATTGTTGTTATTAGTTGAATTTTGTGACTGTTCATATTTGTTATGCTCTTCAATTGATACGCTTGAAACTATTACGAGTTCACCTTAGTCTGTAAACGAGAGCTAAGACAATGATCCAGTTGCGCGATAGGTCACTAATCCATTTTACCCGTCTAACGGAAGAAAGAAGTCTTGATATGGCGTAAAAGTGTATTCTACAAGCACCCAGGGAAATGAGGTCTACAAGCACACAAATCGAGTTTATTTATACATCATAGAAATGTCCTTGGGAGAGCCACGAAATTAGCGTACTAAAATAACACATCAACCAATCACAGTTAAGGATTTTCCTGGTGAGAAATGTAATCCCAAGGTCAACCGATTAGCCCTTGAATGATATCCAAAACTAGGGCTTTTATCAAGTGAGTTCAAGGGATCTAATGTCCCCAACAACATTCCAGTTTTTTTAAAGATTAATACAGTACTCTTCAGAAGGTAACTACAATGGTTCATAAGCTAGTGTCAAAATTTGATAATTCAGTATTGTAAGCTCGAAATCGAACCGTTGTACCACAAGTTGAAACCCTTTCCATTAATTTCAATCTAGATAGCAAGTTTATAACTAGCTGCTTAATAATCAAGACTCAAAGGTCATTGCCATAATGTATACCTAGTTAATGCGTTTCACTGAAGTTCACAGGTTAATATATTAGCCTAAACTGGCTTAGAAGCTAGCTTTTCCCATCTGCGATAACTTAATGTGCCCGGTAAATAAATGACTGTATGTTTAAAAATGTTTAATACGTAGGATTCTAACTTGCACTTGTGTAAATTATTGCTTGTATCGGAAGTTCCACCATGCTAAAATAACAAAAGTTATCGCGATGTCCAGAGTATGTAATAACGAGTTTTAACAAAGCAAACTCATGTGAACGGACTCAGAGCACGTTTCGTAGGATATTTTATACTTTTTACCTATATTTCAACTGCATAAATATCATTAATACATCTGTAAAAAACACTTTAGTTTAGAACCAGTACTTAAATGATACCAGGTTATTTGTATTGAACCGCAAATCAAATCTTTCACACTACTCACTATTCCTGATAAAAAAATTTTTTCTGAACTACCGACAACACAAAGCTAATGTATACACTTTGTGAGCTTAATCTCATTAAAATATAAGAAAACTAAGTCAAACGCTTGACCCATAAGTTTAAAATTGTTTGTTCTGAAGACCTTAAAAAAGAACTCGTAGTTATTCATGATATACTCAATAGACATGAGTACCTTTTGAAGTTTCCAACAAACGAAAAAAAATAATTCGATGTCCTATTTTTTTCATACCTAGTTACTACTAGTCGACAATTCAATACAAATTCTGGATGCCATCGAACTTACCTCTTATGCATCTAGAATATTACTTTTACATTCAACAGACGCTGTGGGAAAACATATTAACATACCTAACTACTTTATACAAAAGAACCTTGTACAACCTTTTAGTTTACTTTGTCTTACTCAGGTATTGTCATATTCCTCAAATTTTCCAAGCTTTTCAATCTTGTAAAAATTTTAATCTTACATAAAGTGTTTGGTAATCTGATTATCTAGTGTTCACTACACCCGTCTTATAAACTACCGATTAATAATCCGACAAAAAATACAAAACATGCATTTGAATTCAATTCCTATTCCTGCACTTATGCAACTAGTGCTGTGATAATCAACTGATAATGAAATTCCATTTCGGTTCTAATTTTACAGATGTAGTCTTACTAACTGATTACTATGTTGTCAAATTGACTCACCTCTACTTAGTTGGTGTTAGTTTTACGTTTAGTTAAATGACCAACCGAATATTTCAAAAACCATTACTAGTATTCAGTTTAACTCACTAGAGATTTGTGGAAGGAAATAAATCTTACACGTCTTATTTATACATACTTATTTACAAATTTATGCTTTATGAAGATCTGTTCAATCGTCTTCGGTCAGTAAATTCTTGAACAATCGTTTTGAGTTTTTCAAGTAGGCTTGACTAATATTGAATATAATACAGCCATTTCTAATTCTTACTTATTCATTTTTCGTTTAAAGTATATAAACAGTCGTTCAGAGCATGCCGCGTTTTCATTTGGCCTTAATTTAACTCGTATGATTCGTGTACATTTCTTATGATATCCCATACTACTTTCAAGCAGTTAAGTAGTACATAATTGTATACGTAATTTATTCCTCGTCAATGTCAATTCTGTCTCATGCCAATTATGGTTATTGTAGTTGATTATTTATTGGATAAATAAATTTTGTATAAACTGCCCATGCAGTCCTACTTTATGTAAAGTTAAATCCTACATTTCATCAGTTACAAAATCAGTTGTAAAATTTAGGTAACATGGAAATTCTAAAATTCTTCACCATCTCAAAATACTTGTATTCATATCAACTATATGTAAGTTTTCAATCAGAATTTATTGTGAGTTTATGTAGATGAAAGATATCTAAAAGATAATCCGGTATTACTTAATCTATTCTTTAGACAAAACATGTACATCTGTCATGTGTGTTGAACGTAAGATTCTCACTACTTATACAGTGTATGTACATAGGATCCATTTATTTCATGTTGAAAAAACTGTTGGACTTATGGAGTGTATGTGCATCTTAGTTGTCTCTTTAATGACCTGATTTAACACTCGTGTGGCATATGGGAAACTTGCTTTCACCTGAAGCAAACATTAATGATATCATCTAAAATGATAATTGTAGTTCTGTGATGCTTTGAATACCATTTTGATTTTATCCTATGATAAATAAACTAACATTATATATATTCTCTATCAAGTTGAACAAATTATAAATCTTACCTATTTGACTTTTTAAAGTTATTCGAATACCGATTTTCTTTCCAAGAAGAAATCCCATTGTTCACCATATTTTTTAACTGACATTAACGATTTTATGAAAATAGACGAATGTCATTAAGTTTGTAAGATATTTGGTAAATAATATTGTGAATTCCATTAGTAGAAGAATAAATATCAATCAATATGTGTTATTTTAGATTTCATATTTGGAATCATTAATATTTTGATAAATTACTAGCCCACAAATAAAATTCTCTATTGTTTTCTCTCTCTCTGTTACGAAAACATGGAACAAAAGGCAATCAAAGTAGGCATTCATAACCTAATTGATGAGACCAAGTTGAAGACGATCTTAAATTGTGGTCGATCAATATCTCTAAAACTAATAAGGAATTCAAGAAATCATTACTTCTATGATTTATCTGGTTATCAGCTTTTTTTTTCTACTGGACTTATTTTTCGGTAACATTAGTAGTTGCTGTAGTTATCGGTACTGTTGTGTCTTTTTCTCTCCCAATAATGTATCAAGCTTTAATCTAAAAAACTTTTATACGTTTTTGCTCGTAACA